TACGTGAAGTGGCGTCGTAAAACTCGGTGAAAAACGCGATATTCAACGCGGTGATATGCAGTAGTCGTGGAATATGTTTTTCACTAGTGTTTTTCATATCACTAGGCTGAAGAAACTCCAGTGTATAGGAATTCGGATAGAAGTATACAATAAATTTCCTATAAATCTATATTTTTCCACACCGGTGATTTTTTCTGTATATTTTTTCTTCTTCAGCTACTTCACGCCCGTCGTGAGCAAGAGTCTGCATTGCGAGCTATGTTGGTCTCGGGCCTTACAACTAAGGATTCCACTGAAGCGGAGAGGTGAGAAATTGTTGTGGTGAAAAAAATTTTTTTGTGGAAATTTTACGATTTTTTTTTGGAAAAATTGGAGGGTAAATCGATCTTAGTGAGGCGAAAAAATGTGGGGAATTGGAGTTGGAATATATTTTTTTCGTGTGAAAATATGCTGAAAATTTTCCTAAAATTTTTTTGGATTTTTGTGAGGCGGAAAGTGGAGGATATTTTCTGTGACATTTCTGATTAAAAATGTGCGCGAAAAAATATCGTGAAATTATGAAAAATTTTCCGGAAATTTTTTTAGGCTGAATTGATTCAAGTGAGGATTGCTAAAGTTTATTGTAAAAGTGAATGATGAATTTGGAAGATTTTTTTCTGCGAAATTTCAGATTATTACACAAGTTGCTGAGAGAACAGCCTAGGCTGAAAACTGACGTGGCTGAAGAAGTGATTCATCAACTCATCGAAAAGGGTGGGTCCAGGGTGTGGGGGAAATATAACTGCATGTGTTGGTGAAGAAATTTTATGAAATTTTCGTTGGTTCAGGTATAAAATAATTGTTTTACCAATATTATTCCATCTTACAGTGTGTATGGGGGGGAAATATGCACATGGTCAACTACATGTGTTGAATTACCACAGCTCCCTCAGCTGCTGAGCTCGGGGGTTTTCAGAGTTATATAATGAAAATTTTCACACGAATTTGGGTAGAAGTGTATAGAAACCAAGAAGAATTTCCCGAAAAATTTTCATATTGTCATTGACGCATATGAACTTTTCCCACACTGGCGTAAAGATTATTTCCTATAGCGGAGCGAAGCGATTCATGTTTACCATTTTAGGTCCTGTACAAGATGACCGTCGCGCCATGGGTCATCTCTATCGTGGCTGTGCGTTCTTATGCTCTATGAGACTCACTCACACTGAAGATGGTATCTTTGGGTATCTTGAGGTCCATTTTAGGCCACTTTGAATTTAGGTGATGTCGCTGTACTCATCGCGGAGACGTTCGCAAAGTTATTGGAGAAAATGTTGTCGAGTGAAATGCAGGGTCCGAGCAAAATGGTGAGAAAAATGCACTCGCTGGGAATCGAACCGGGGACCTATTAGGCGTTCTAGTGTAGAAATCCTATTATCCGAGGATCCTGGAGGAACTCATTTTGAATTTTCCACATTTTTCAGTCAGTTTCCCATGTAAATATGATCACATTTTTCGAATATTTTTGTCAAAGTTGAATGGTTCGCCGTGTTAGATGCGTCCTGCGCATCGCGGTAGTCGAGTACATAAGCGCAAGAAGAATAGTGAGGGTGGTCCGAATCAAGAGGATGCACAACAACGATTGAGAATAGTGCGATTGTGTCTAAGTGGATTGCATAAGTGAGTTGTGAAGTGGCGAGAGAGTGGTATGATAATTGTTGG